AATATTCTTTAAATATTTTATGCTAGAAATTTCATAATGTAACAAATCGTGATTAATACAATTTTTAAAACATCTCAACAGAATACTCTAGATCTTTATTTTGCTTAGTCAGCGTATTTTTTGAGCCAATAGATTTAGTTTGTTCGTTAATTTGGCGGGGTTTTAGATTTTGTGAATATTCTTATGTTCTTCTGCACAAGAACATTTAAGTTTTTTTTGTTTTTTTGTTTCCATGTATGTCTGTAAAACAAAAACTTTTTGTTTCGTACATAAACTTGAATGTTCTCAAATTGACTAAAATACATGGCCAGTTTTTTTGCAACTAGATATAATTTCTGTGGTCAGTATTTAAGAGCGATTGCTCCCGTTTCCTGACCAAGCCTGGTTAAATATCATTAATACATGGCCAGTTTTTTTGCAACTAGATATAATTTCTGTGGTCAGTATTTAAGAGCGATTGCTCCCGTTTCCTGACCAAGCCTGGTTAAATAATTTTAGTTTAACATAAATGAAATATAAATTTGTTTTTGCTATTAATATAAAAATAAAGATCATTTTAAAGATATTTATGTATCTATCTAAATTTTCTACTTATGCGAAACCTTATTTTGCTTTAATTTTTTTTATTTTATTTTCTAATGCAGTGACTTTATTTTATTATATTCTTCATACCTATATTCTCAATATTCTCGCTATCACTCTGACAACTGTCTCCCAAAATGACATCAAGTAAATAAACTGTATTCAAAAACCATACAGAAAATTAAACTACTCCGGTTTCTGTAAATAATCTGTTTATCAAATTCTAAAAAATTTTAAAACAAAACAAGTTTTCACCACACCAACTCAAAAAAAAACATAGCGCAAAATTCACTTCCATAAAAAGGAAAGTTTTAGTTAAATGTTAAAGTTAAAAAAAAAAAACACCAATAATTCCTATCTTTAATTAAAACATATCAATAATAATTATTAAAGATTATTAACAACTAAAACATAACATTAATGCCTAATAATTATATGTTAACAATATAATAAATAAATTGTAAAATATTTTGTATTTTATTTTAATCAAATACCAGAAATTAAGGTATATAAATTAGTGTCAATAATTGATTTTGAAAGATTATATAAAATTAATACACTCGATTATTAAATGTCATTTAATGATCTTATGAATATAAGGATTTAAATAGATAATGATACGATTCATCATAATTTCCTTTAGTACTACAGTTTTAGAAGTATTAGAACTCCAGTTTATCATTTAGTGTGTATCAATGACATATTTTGACTCTAATATAAATAATACTGTATTCAAACACTTTCACTTAACCAGTACTTTTCATCAAGTGACTTAACCAAAAATTTGTTTTTTTTTTTTTTTTTTTTTTTTTTTTTTTTTTTTTTTTTTTTTTTTATGTCATTAATATTCGATGAGTGCTGTTAAAGTAATAATGCTCTTTTGAGGTGCTGGTAATAGTATTCAGTGTTCAAGTGCTCATCAGGGATTGTTTTATTTTGGTGCTAAAACAAAACAATCTCTGAAGAGGTAATATACTGTGTGAGTCATCTACCCTTCATCTTCTAAGATTAACTCTTACTTCCAATATTTCTTTGAAACCGTCAAGCGAAAAATATACTTTTTGATCAAAATTTAATCCAGTAAAATTAAGTTTAACATGCATGCACTAGATTCATTATGAAACAGACCTCTCAAGCTTTAGTTTACTGAACTATTAAATTTAGATGAAAAAGTTTACCATTTTTTAGTACAACAAAGATTATATTTTTTATTAAATGTTCTTGTTAAATTTTATTGTATACAAAGAGGTTTGATCTCAATTTCAAAAAGAACTGATCTTAAACTGATCCTAATTTCTGCTAGTGAAATTAGGCTCAATATATTTAATATTTTTCTTTTCTCGATCTAGAGGCCCAGCGGTTAAGTCAAGATTCATATTTCCGGCTTAAAAAAATAAGAGTTGTTACTATAAAGAGTAGCCTCCTTGACTGTATAGGCCCTCAGTATCAGGGAAGTTGAAAAACCATATATATCAAATTTGGACAAGAATAATGTTTGATTGCACACCGCTACTGCCCATGCTTATAATATTTTTTCTTTACTATTTAATAATTTTGGTTTTAATATTTTAACAATTTTAATGCTTTAAAGAAATTGTTCTGTTATAAATAACTTTTGATGGGTGATCTATTCTAAAGTTTTTTATCTTAGTTGTTGTTGTTTTTTTAATGTGCAGACTTTAAATAAAATAACAAATAGTTATAGTTTTAAAATAAACAACTTTGTGTAAATAAACAAACAATAATTATTTTTAAAGAAAAATTTAAGTATAACAGTATGAAACTATTTTTTCATGTCTTCTTTTTAAATTAATTTTTTTTAAGTTACTTAAATTATGAATAATTAAAATTAAATTTTCTGTTATGACAGAATGATTTAATTGCTTTATCTCTTCTTTTTTTTATGTTTATCTTTTCAAAGAATTGTTTAAAACTTTTTTCTTTGCATGACTGACTAATTAGCATGAAAATGTTAAAAATTAGATGCTCAATAGACTCCAGTGTATATATATATGTATATATATGTGTGTGTGTGTGTATATATATATATATATATATATATATATATATATATATATATATATATATATATATATATATATATATATATACACTACTGTGAATATGTTTTAGACCATTTATATAATTAGTTGTATTTTCAAATTTTTTTTTTTTGTGTGTTTTTTTTTTTAAGCATTCTTAAGTCAAGTAATATTTGAGAAAGGTTGAAAGAATATATAAGTCTTGAATAAATAAACAAAAGTTTATGAGGAACATGAGGGATATGTTTGTTTATTTATTAAAACAATAATTGTCATAACTGCAGGTCAAGCGTTCATCTAAATAATACATAAAAATAATATTTTCCATTTTTTTCTAACTGGTTCAGGTTCATATTCGTTCGTTTAAGTTTTTAACAGTATAAAATGTAGTCATAGAGTGAATTTAATACAATAATAATCGGTTTTGGTACATTTTTTATTTTTTTAAAAGTTGTTATTTTTTATGAATACAGTTGAACAAATTGTTACAAATAATTAAATAAAGTTATTAGTTTACATTTTTAGATAAATTAAGTGTTGCTATGGGTAAAATATCTTTAATAGAAAGACAGAAAGTTATTGTGCTTCACAAAGTAGGTTTTTAGCAGCGCCAAATTTCTTCCAAAACAGGATACTCGAAGATTGCTATTAGAGAAATCATTAAAAAGTTTAGAGAAACTGGAGAAGGCTCACGAAGGAGGCTCTTTACAAGTTTAGGGCTGTTTATCTTCATCTGGGGTAGGTGATCTGATCAAAATAGAAGGACGACTCACCGGGCAATGTTATGTGGATATTCTAAGACAGCATGCTATACCATCCAGAATGAGACTAACAGGCCATAGTTTTATTCTGCAGCAGGACAATGATCCAAAACATTGTTCCCGAGTGGCAAAAAATTATTTAAATAAAATGGCAGAAGAAGGAATACTGGAAATGATGACCTGGCCTCCCCAGAGTCCAGATTTAAATATAATCAAGCATATTTGGGATTACTTAGACAGGAAAAAGGTCGAACATGCTCCCCGAAATGCTGAAGAATGTTTTCAAGTACTTCAAAGAGAATGGTACAACATACTGCAAGATTTTATAACAAATTTGTATGAATCCATTTCTCAGCGAATATCGGCTGTGATTTAGGCAAAAGGAGGACATAGTAAATATTAAGGGTTTTTTTTATGAAGTGTGACATTAAAAAGTTTGTTATTGTTCCATATTTTGTGTGAAATATATGTGTTTTAATAATTTTATAATATAGAATTTGAAACATAAATATTAAGGAAGAATTCTCTTGGATTTTTTGAGAAAATGTAAGTGGTCTAAAACATATTCACAGTACTGTGTGTGTATGTGTATATATATATATATATGTATATATATATATATGTATATATATATATATATATATATATATATATATATATATATATATATATATATATATATATATAAACTAAATTTTTTCTTTCATTAAACAATAGAAGTAATTTGTAAAAGTGTTTAGCATAACTTTAATAAAACATTTCAAAAGATAAATTTTAAAGTGATTTATTTAAAACACAATCAAAAATGTAACAAAAAGTAATTTTCGCTTTGAGTTTTATTTCTTCTTCCAAAGAAAATATATATATATTAAGTTTCCTTCTTAGTTCAAGTTTAACTTTTTCAGCACATTTCTAAAGTGTCATAAAATCATTTAAATATCTAAACAGTTATTGTCGAGTTGTCAAATAATAAAATTGTTTGCGTGGTCAGCAATAGCGATCAATTGCATGCCATTCCTGTCCAAGCCTGATATATATAATCAAAGGTGTATTAAAAGATGTTTAATAATTTTTTATATTTAAAGTTTTGTTGTTAAAATTAAATGTTTAACATACTTTTAAAACACAAAGGTATAAATTATTAATTGGTATAAATATCAAAAGCAAAATAATATGTTCAATCTACATTTGGTGGAATAAAAGACTCCTGTATGGTAAATAAAAATTATATTAATCTAGAACTCTACTTGTAAAAGAAAAAATTCAGTTTTCTAGATATTAAAAAAAAAGTTATGACAATAACAACAAGTTTGATTGTAGGGTGTGGTTACTACAAACTATCTCTATTCCTATCTATAAATGATCTATGTTATGATCTACAATAAACAAAAATTCTTATTTTCAGGGCGCGGCAAATCAACAAACGTGCGAGCGATTGTTTAAAAAAAGACAGAAAAACGAATGTCGCGTTACCTTACTTTTACTTAAGCAAACGTTGGCGTTCGCTTAAATTTTTTAAAAACGAACGCATATCTTCAGCAATTTTTTATTTCCAAATAATTATGCGACTGATAGTTTTTCATTCATCATCAAAAAAACATTAGCATCGAAAAAATAAGTTACTAAAATTTAAAACGCAGTTTCAATGACATTTAAAAAAACCGCGCTAATACTTTCTTCAATAGCGTTTCTTTTAAGTATGTAACTGTAGAAAAAATTATATTTAGCATGGTTTTTACATGCATTTTCAAAAGAATGATAAGTTTAACTTAAAATGAATGCATTTGCAATTACATTAAACAGAATCATACTAAAACATTCTTTTTCCAAAGGCGTGCTTTTTTTTGAATTTTTTTATTATCATTAAATTAATGTTTATTTGCCGTTTTTTACAGTTTTAAAAAAATTTGCAGAAATATAAAATTTAATAGATTTTATAGATCTATTAAGTTGATTATAGTTTTCATTTTTTACTGTGGGTTTAACAACAACCAATAATATAATATTTTTTTATTAAATACTTAATATTATAAATATAATAATAGCATATCAGGTATTTGATAGTAACTTATTAAATTATAAATTTAATAACTTATTAAAGGCTTAATACTATATAATTATTTTTAAATATTTAAAAAAATAAAAATGTCAAAATAACTTTTCTTTCATTTTTATATAGTTCCCTTTTAATCTAAATTTTATCAAGTTTATATCTTTTTTTTTATAATTTAACAAACTAAATTGAGAAAAGTTCACTATTTTGTATTAATTGATAACAGTTTACAGTGAAAAGTTTATTGCATATTAGTTATCATTAATTTGCACACACTTTGCAAATGCGTGAAAAATTGTTTTGAATTAATAAAAAGTGATAAAATTCGATAAGTATCTTTGATATATTTAATTATTATATATTTTATTAACTCGACTAAAATTAATTTAAATATAAAACTCCCTTATAATTAAACAAAAAAATTAAAGTTAAAATGAAACTGGATTATTCTGGCCGACACATAGGTTCGAAGTGTAGGTGCACAACCATCTAATAATGAAAAAAATCCTCTATATCTTGAATTTCTCTTGTATAAAAAAAATATATAAAAAAAGTGTGTATGTGTGGAGGGAGAGTGAATATTTGACATACCTCTTAAATTAGACATTCGTCAATAAAGAAACGAACGTCAACGTTTATTTTCAAAAAAATGATTTCTTGCGCCCTGATTTTACTATATTTGTTTTCGTTTATTATATTTTTTTTTCAATATTTATTTTCGTTTATTATATATTTTTTTTTTTTACAATATTTTCGTTTAATAATTTTTTACAAATATTTACATACAAGTATTTCTATTTTTTTTTAAGTATCTATAATTTGAAGCTTACATCAATTAAAATATTTTCAGACTTGAGAGATTCTTAATTACATAAAATGCATTTATATTTCCCAAAAGTTGATTTCAACTGGTTATAAAATGTTTTCTGAATGGTGTAACCAGAGCAAAAGTATCAGATAAATGATTGTTCTGTAAACTTATTTTTAAAAAGCTAAAAATTATATTGGAGATAAAATTTCAATATTTGGTGGTGTTTGTTATCTAATGCATCAAATCTCATTAAATTTAAAAAGAAGAGAAAAACCAAAGCCTTTGATTAGCCAAGAGCAAGCCAAGTTAGGTGAGAAGATGTTCTTGCCACTTTCACCTAACAAGTAATAAAACAGTTATAAAGTTGGTCAGTTAATCAGGAATTATCTCTTCCAGATATTCCCGAAACTCTGGTTATTTTTCTTTCTATATTTTACCCTAATGATTTGGTGGATTTTTAAAATATGACCTTGGTGGCCTTTGGTTAATAAAATCCTCTTGTTCTACGACAGATTTTATAGTTGTAGTAACAGAAGAGTTATTAAAAAAATATTAAACATAAATATAATTCGTTAAAATATTTTATGTATCTTTAATACAGTTTTGTGAATTTATCTCATAACTGGTTTTATAAAACATGCCTTATTCCTACAACATATTTTTTGTTTTTCAAAAACAATTAAATCGTTTAAATAAAATTAAAAAAATGTATTTTTTTTTTAGTTTCTGTTTTAATAGAAATGCTTTAACTTTTTTTTTTAGCTGAACGAGCGATTGACACAATGAACTATGATCCTATTAAAGGACGTCCTTGTCGTATCATGTGGTCTCAGCGCGATCCAACTCTACGACGCTCTGGTGTTGGAAATATTTTCATTAAAAACCTAGATAAAAATATTGATAACAAGGGCCTTTATGATGCTTTTAGCGCTTTTGGTAATATTCTGTCTTGTAAAATAGCTGTTGACTCGAAAAATGTTTCTAGGGGTTATGGGTTTGTTCATTATGAAACAAAAGAAGCTGCTCATGAAGCTATTGCTAAAGTCAATGGAATGATGTTAAATGACAAGAAAGTGTATGTCAAATATATTTTTTAAATTATATTATATGTCTTTATATAGTTTTGGTTGTTAAACCTTTTTGTTTTTGTATTTTAGCTTTGTGGGTGAGTTTATGTCAAAGCGCGAACGTCTTGAAAAACTTGGTGATCAGGCAAAAAAATTTAAAAATGTGTTTGTCAAAAATTTTGGCGATTCATTAGATGAAGAAAAACTAAAAGAAATGTTTGGCAAACATGGAGAAATAACAAGTTGTGTTGTCATGGCTGAGTCTGGCAAGAGTAAAGGTTTTGGTTTTGTTGCATTTGAAGCGCCTGAAGCTGCAGAAGCAGTTGGTTTTTTTTTTTTTTTTTTTTTTTAATCTTTTTGTTTAAATACTTAATATTACTTGTTTAAAAAAAAAAGATTTAAAGCAATGTTGGAGATAAGTTTTAATGTTTTTCCCAAATCTTTAACTTTTATAACATTTGATAGGCTGTAAATGAACTTAATGGTCTTGAGATAGAAGGGAGAAAGCTTGTGGTTTGCAGAGCTCAAAAGAAAGCTGAGCGAACAATGGAATTAAAAAGCAGGTTTGAAGCACAGAAAATGGAAAGAATCAATCGCTATCAAGGTTAGACTATCGATAAAGTCTTATATGTAAAATATATACTATATTTATACAATATTAGAATGTGACTAAATCACAAAAAAGCAAAAAGGTCCTGTAAGATGAATTGAACTGTTCAAATGTTCATTTTCATATGTATAGGTGTCAATTTGTACATTAAAAATCTTGAAGATGGTTTGGATGATGAGCGATTACGATCAGAATTTTCTACTTATGGCACTATAACAAGTGCTAAGGTTATGAAAGACGAAAAAGGTATTTCAAAAGGATTTGGATTTGTTTGTTTCTCTTCTCCTGATGAAGCAACTAAAGCTGTTACTGAAATGAATGGTAGAATTTTGGTTACAAAACCATTATATGTTGCACTTGCTCAACGCAAAGAAGAAAGACGTGCACAACTCTCTACTCAGTTTTTACAGCGTGTTAATCCACTTAGATATAATGCTTCTGGAGTAAGCTCCCAAAACTTTTTTATTACTTATAATTTTTTTTTTTTTTTAACTTTCCTTGTTTTATAAGTATAATATAAGTTTATTAATTTTTTTTTCTTTGAATTTTAAGACAATGCCTCAAGCTGGTTATTCATTTCAAGCTGGTCAACCTGGTTTTTACATTCCAACTGTGCCAACAAATCAGCGTCCATTCATTACACAATCTGTTAATCAAATCACTCGTCCACGTTGGCAAAGCCAAGCACCAGTGCAACAAATTCCAGCTAATACTCAATATGCCTCTCATGTTACTCAAATTAGAGCTGGTGCTGCTCCACCAAGACCAAGGCATCAAGGTGCTCCTAATGTTGCTCGTCGTGAACCTGCTCCATATCAACCTGGTATGGGAACTCGAACAATGCCTAGTCAACAGGTTCCAATTCGGCCTAATGTTCCAGCAGTTGCGCAACAGCGTACAGCTTATAAATATAATCCCAACACGCGAAACCAGTATCCAGCCGGTCAAATGATAGGACAGCCTGATCAAGCTGCTGCTATAATTCAAGTAAAAATTTTTTGAATAATTTAAGTATTTATATTGATACTTTATTAGTTAATCATTTTCAAATTTAAAAATCCAGTTTTTCTAAATATTTTGTTTGTAATTAAAATTAGTTTGTTGATATTAAATTGGTGATATTTAGGGTCCAGATCAGCTAACTTCGACTATTCTTGCAACTGCTACACCTACAGAGCAAAAGCAGATGATTGGTGAACGTCTGTTTCCCTTAGTGCAAGAATTTCAACCACATCTAGCTGGTAAGATTACAGGTATGTTATTAGAGATTGATAACAGTGAGTTGCTTCATATGTTAGAGTCACGTGATTTACTTCGTGCTAAAGTGGAAGAAGCCGTACAAGTTCTGCAAGCACATCAAGCTAAAGAGGCTGCTGCAGCAGCAGCTGGTACAGCCGTTGATAAAATATAGATTATTTTATGAACAAAAGTATGCAAACATATAATAGATAGTCACTTTTGCAAACAAGTTTCTTTTCAACAAATTTAGTTTCTTGGGATCTTTATCTAAACTAAAAGCGTTTTGGGGTTCAATTCATTTTTAGTCTGTGTAAGAATTTTTAAAGATATAAATAAACTTTTAAAGCTATAAATGTTTTGAGTTTCAAAACATTTTATGACATACCTATTTGTAAGCAATAGTGACAATTTTTTAATAACATTTTTTAAGACAAAGTACTAATAAAATCTCTCGATTCATGTTATGTTTAATACTAACAATTTAAAATCGTTTGCAAAAAAAAATCCTTATCTTTTAATACTAAATTTAATTTTGAGTGACTAGTAGATAATGTTAATATATCTTGCCCTTTTTATAGTGTACTTTTGTGTAATCTTTCTTTTTCTAGTCTTAGAGGATTTTATTTTATTTTTTACGCGAATATTGGTCGTGAAAAGTGTGTATCAGGATATCTATTCCCTTGATAAGTTAGTTGTTTCTCTAATATTTTTAGAGAAGAATGCTTGAATTTTTAGTATTAAGACCAATTTACACTCGGAAATGTCGAATCTATTAGTAAATGTTTATGTGAAAGCATACTCGTGTTTCATAATATGAAAAATATTAATATCTAAATGTTGGTTGTTTTTTAGTTTCTATACCCAAATTTGTCTGAGGAATTTGTTTCCATTAACCTTGTTCTAATTTTAAAGTTTATTTATCTCTATAATAATATTAACCTCATCAGTAGTGAATTTGTGCGTGTTGAACACTAAAATTCTCGGTAGCATGAGAAATTATTAAGTAATGAAATGAATTAATGTAATATGTCATGCAATATTCTTCAAACGCAAAATTTCCATTTTTAAGCGTTTTTTTATGCTGTTTTAACCGAAATAACAAAATCCTGGCCGGAGCAAAAGAGACTTTATTATCTTTAAAATACCTGTCATGTCACAGTTCTTTACAATGTTTTCATCCGTGTTTACTAAATTAATATGTGAATAAAACAGTATAAGACCTGGTAGGGAACAAAAATCGACCATTTGCGGTGATGGTCGGTTATCAGATAACAGCATTCATTGGTGATGCGGCAGAGGTGTGCGGTGATTGTCGGTCAGCGGGTTTCAGATCATTGCTAATATTCGATTTTTTGTTCCCTGTTATCTACGTAACTTCAGCAATAAAATAAATTTTTGTTTATTTTTCAGTGGAATAATTAAAATAAAGCTTAAGTGAGATCGTGAAATTGGTAGATAATAGAATCAAAAACCGATTCCGACGTTTGAAGTTTTGTGTAAATTGATGACCGGAATATACCAAAATAAATGTTTGCATTTTGAAATACAAATTATTTCTTGCCATATTGCCTGCCCAAACCAAAACGCTTTGTAGATGTATGTATCTTGCATGATCATTTTAGTCAGTATGTATGTATGTAGTAGTCATGTATGAACTCCCTGTCTGTTTTACATTTTTAAGGCAGTCTATGTGTGCACAATAATTTTTATAATCAAAATTTTATACACAATTTAACTTATTAATGACAATAATGCACAATAATTTTTATAATTAAAATTTTATACACAATTTAACTTATTATTGACAACAGTCGTCGCATAAAACTAGAGCTGAAAACTTTAAAATTCAGCATAAAAGTACACAAAAACATTAGTGCTCAAGAAGAATCGATCCCGCTTTGCCAGGCGTATACGCAATATCATTTACTGCAAGACCACTAATTACTTCTTTAGAATAATAGTAAATTATAATCATTTACTCAGTTTTTCACGCTACACAATTAATCAAAAATAATACATTTTCGGATCGTTAATTTGCATAAAATTTTAAACGTCGGAATAGATTTTTGATTCTATCATCTGCTAAAGTTATTAATCACGAAAAATGCGTCCCTATAAATAATGCAATATAATGAGGTTACATAAAATAATGAAGTCTGATAAGCGTTAAAGATCGTCCATAAAGTACGTACGCTCGGAAAGGAAGAGGATCTGTAAATGACGTATATGAGATAGGGAAACAGTAGGTCAATTGTAAATGTATGGAGACACTAAATTAAAAAAAACAAATTGTTGGGTTGGTATGTCAAAAGCTTTGGAACTTCTAGGGAGTTTAAGGTAGTCAAAAATGTGAGGTTTTTGGCGTAAAATGTTGGTAAAAAATAAATTTTTTATAAATCTCTAATACCTACTGTAATTATCTATATCAACATTATTCATTCCAATTACTCTTAATGAACGCATTATATTACCCTCGAGTCCCCTCCTCCCCCATTTATTAATTTTTATTTATTATCAAAAAAAAATCAGTAAAAATCGAATTTAAAAATTAGAATATAATTATTCTAGTCACTTATAAATACAAAAACCTTCCGTCTAAAAAAGCTTTACAAATCGCCAGTCAAGTAAATGTCGATTTATCGAAAATCAGCTTTTAATTTATTACTCACCAAAGAAACTGTTTGAAAATGCGCATTTGACCGTAAGCTACGCTAGAATTAAATAGTTTTATGAAAAATATTAGTTCAGATTTATAAACTTTTTTTAAAAAAATACTTATATTGTAATTTAAAAAATTTCCCACCCTCCTTTTATTGAATCGATTTTCCTCCCCCCTGCTTTTTTTACCCCTCCTTCTTCTTCTACTTATAAAAATTCTTCCCCTTCCCTTGTACTAAGGTTTCATACTATATTCATTTCGGGCGCCCGAAATATTTCAGATACAATTTATTTTATTGGTTTAAAACTTATATTTAATAAAGCGTGATAGCTTGATCCGTGGTAAGGTGTTATTATTAAAGACACATCAGCTAAATTTTTAATAGACTTGTGTTTCAAACGTGTTATGTTTTCATAATTGTGTTTAGAAGAATTTTATTCAATATCTTCATTTTCAACAATAGTCGGAGAGAATTACGAGTTGACCCGGACAAAAGTAGTATAAAGCTGAAATAAAAAGTTGAGACCATACCATTGATTAACAAAATGATTAAACGTTCTTTGAATAGAGAGGACAATTGGGGGAATGCTGTACATTCTCGTTTGATGTCTTGTCATGATCTTGTAGCGGAAGAAGCCATCTATCATATTTCGTGTATGAACAACTTCAGACTTAAAACTAAAAGCGATAACCAACATGGACGCCCATTAGATCTCACTAAGTTAGAAAATTTTGAGAAACTGTCTCTGGTTAGAGGAAGTAACTGACGGCGAACTTTATACTCTTTCTGATTTGCACATTAAGATGAAAGAACTTAGTAATGGTTATCCATATTACTCAAAAAAATCTTTAAAACGAAAATTACTTGAACATTATGGTGGTCATATTTTTTTTGGAGAACTCTCTGGTCAATCTAATTTAGTTTGTTTCAAAGATATTCTTTTATCATATCAAAATTTCATAAAAAGAAAAATCACACTAAAAATGATGTTATTACTGCCGCTGCAAGTATAATTAAGAGCGAAATCAGAGAAATGGATGTAAATAAATCTATGTATCCGTCACTAGAGGATATGGGTGGTATTGAATATGAACTCAAATGGGTTCCAAAGAGTTTACAGCTACTCCTAAGCCATTTAATTTCTGTAAAGCTTCAACAAATTAGTTTAGGACAATGCATTGCTCAAGCTTCGCAACCAAGATCTATGATAGCACCAATTCTATTTGGAATTGGCGTAGATATTGATAAATTTTTTGGAACAAAATGGCTTGAGGATCACCTTTACAAATTTAAATTTTCAATATCCTTCGATGAAGTGAAGTTGTTCAAGTTTTCTGCTGCAGTTAGTAGAGTAAATGCTGCGCATGAACAAGAGCCGAACTTTCTACATTGGGTGGCTGACAATGTAGATCACAATATTCGCACATTGACCGAAAAAGGAACTTTTCATGGAATGGCTTATATATCAATATATTTTTCTTCTAAACACAATTATGAAAACATAACACGTTTGAAACACAAGTCTATTAAAAATTTAGCTGATGTGTCTTTAATAATAACACCTTACCACGGATCAAGCTATCACGCTTTATTAAATATAAGTTTTAAACCAATAAAATAAATTGTATCTGAAGTATTTCGGGCGCCCGAAATGAATATTGATCTTATTTGGGATGTGGCATGGTTTTTTAGTTCAAAACTAAAAAACCCTGCCACATTTTAGCTCAAAACTAAATAACCTTTGTGGCAGAAAGCGCTCGGTATTATAAAAGATCAGAACCTCAATAGAGTATGTCGACTTGGAGGATTTCACACAATGATGAGCTTTCTTGGAAGCATTGGAAAACTAATGACAGGAAGTGGCCTGGAAGAGGTTTTAGAGCAAGTTTCTCTGAAGATACGGTAAAACATATGCTTAAAGGAAAAGCTGTTGCAAGAGCCTTAAGAGGTCACATGTTGGTCCAGAGTGCTTTGATGAGTCATATTATAGATATTTTAGTTGACGAATCAAAACTAGATATATCCGGACTTGAATGCACTTATAAAATGGCAATGCAAAATGGTATGAACAAGGAAGAGTTAATCGGACTTGGTAATACAGATGCTTTCAAAAATATTGAATGTGTTATATTAACCTATACGGAAAGAAAGTCATATGAATCACGAACAGCAAAACTTTGGATCTTGTACATATACTCTATTGGAATCATAAAGGAATTTTTAGTTGCAGAGAGAACTTGTAACTGGTACTTGCATCTTCAAGCAATCTTAAAAATGCTAAACTTATTTTCCGCATCTAGACATTTAAAGTATGCCAAGTGCTCTAGATTATATTTGCAAGAAATGCAACATCTTTCAGAAACAAATCCGTGGTTACACCAACAATTTTTAGATGGTTGTCACGCAGTGCGCCGATCTGCAAGGTATTGGCCTATCTTCTGATCTTGTAATTGAGCAGACCCTGATGCGTTAAAATGCAATGGTGGTTTAACTAGAGGTAGAGGATTTGATGAAAACGTACGCAACCTATGGACAATGAGCATCTGTTATTCTGCATGTGTTCATGAAGCAATGTATAAATTATCTGGATTAGGCATCGGAGTTATGTAAAACAATAAAGAAATTGGTATTAAAAGATTAGTATGTGATTATGAACATTGTGAGTTGTTTTATGATTGGTTTGCTGTCAGAAATCCATTCAATATTGATGATAAAAATCTATATTCATTATCTACGGGTGTTGTGTCAGTAAATGGTGAAGATCTTGTCAATTGTGACGAGGCTGAGAACATAGGTGTTCGTCTACAAACTTGTCTCGACGGTCTTAAGTTCAATGAATTAAAGTTCAATGAATTAAAAAAGTCGGTCTTAAGTTTTTAAAAAAATCGTATTCTTTTTTTTAAAAAAGAATACGATTTTTTCTTTGGATGTTTTGACTGATAGCGTAAAACTAGACAAGTTAACTAATTGTTGTGTTGATTCAACACTCCTTTTTAATAGGCTTGCAGCAATTGCAGAAAGAGAGGATGACGTTGAACTATACTTTGATTATGAGCTCACTCATTTCCCACAATCAAAGCAAACAAATCCTCTTTGCAAAAAGCGATTCTTCCTGACAATGAAATTAAATCAAGTACAAATGTTAGCTTGTGCAAATATGTCCTTGACTGTGGTT